AAGGACATCAATTATATCTTCAACTTTTTTATTCTTCTTCTTTTCTACTATGTATGGGGTCCTAACGTGTTGTGATCTCTTCATAACTCTTTTGTTTGGTGCCCTAATTTTCTTAGACAAGCTCTTATTTGTGGCTACATTCTCTTCTTTCTTGTGCACAGCATTTGTGAGATCCTCCATAATTGTATCCACCTGTGCAATCACATCTTTATGTACAATTTCCTCTGCATCCTTATGTACAATTTCCTCCTCAATATTTTTCTCAACTTTCTTCTTAGTCTGCAAATCCTCTACTCCTTTATTTTCCACATCGTGGAAATCATCATCACCTCCAAAATTATTTTCAACACTTCCTCTGTCTTCAAATTGAACTTCCTCCTCAACTTCCTCCTGGTTTCCCCCCTCAACTTTCTCCTTACTGGGGACTTCCTCTCCATCTTTCTTCTGGATGTAAGTTTCATTCTGAATGTCCTCCTCAACAGGAACTTTCTCCTCAACTTTTTTTCCAAGGTCTTCTTCCTCCTCTCCTTTATCAGAATCATGTACAAAGTTTACTGGTGAATGATGTTACTCCTCAGTTGGCCGTGACTTCAGCTTACTGTTTTTATAATTTTCTTCTTAATATTTTCCTTCAACGCCTTCGGGTCTATAACATTAGTACTTTCTCCAAAAGATTTCACAATTCTGTTAAGTCTGCTAATCTCAATCATAAATGCTTTATAATATATACTCTTTTTGTGCTTTGTGGAACTCAGTAATCGTCTGCAAATTTTAGTAAAATTTCTCCAAAACATAAGTTGCTTCTCAATGGGTAGAGCTTCCACCTCATCTTCCTTTTCCAATGGATCGTCAATATACTTTGACATGATTTGAGATTTTTTAAAGATTAATAGAAAATAGGATTAGAGTTAATAGGAAATGGTTTATAGTTAACATAAAATGAGTTAGACTTAACAAAAAACGAGTTAGATTTAACAGGAAATGAATTAGATTTAACAGGAATTAAATTGTACTTAACAGGAAATAAATTAGACTTAACAGGAATTAAATTAGATTTAATATAAAATTAGACTTAAATTTTGAATTAGACTTAACATGAACTGATATTATACTTAACATGAACTAAAATTAGACTTAATATGAATTAAATTAGACTCAATATGAATTAAAGAATACCTAACAGGAAATAAATTAGAGATAATAGGAACTAAATTAGACTTAACATATAATTAGACTTAAAACAAGGTGAATTAGACTTAACATAAACTAATATTGGACTTAACAGGAACTAAAATTAGACTTAATATGAATCAAATTGGACTTAAAATAAAATTAGATTTAGCATGAATTAAATTGGACTGATATTAGACTTACCATGAACTGATATTAAACTTAATATGAATTAAATTAGACTTAACAGGAATTAAATTAGACTTAACAAGAAATAATTTAGACTTAACATGAATTAAATTAGACTTAACATGAAATTAGACTTAAAACAAGTTGAATTAGACTTAACATGAATTGATATTAGATTTAACATGAACTAAAATTAGACTTAATATGAATTAAATTAGACTTAACACGAATTAAATTAGGCTTAACATGAAATAAATTAGACTTAAAACAAGTTAAATTAGACTTAACATGAATTGATATTAGACTTAACAGGAACTAAAATTAGACTTAACATGAAATCAACTTGGACTTAAAATGAAATTAGACTTAACAAGAGTCGAATTAGACTTAATAGGAATTAAATTGGATTTAACAGGAATTAAATTAGACTTGACAAGAATTAAATTAGACTTTAAATGAATTAAATTAGACTTAGTAGGAACTAAAATTGAACTTAGTATGAAATTAGACTTAACAGGAACTAAACTAGACTTAACATGAATCATATTGGACTTAACATGAAAATAGACTTAACATGAAATAATTTAGACTTATTAGAAATAGAATTAGACTCAACAGGATACTTACATAGCCTATTGAGTCATTCTTCTTGGTTTCCTCATTCTTTCTCTTTGGACTCTTCCCACTAACAAGACTTTTGAGACTTATGAGGCATAATTTCTTTCCTCAATGCTGGGGGTGGGAATCTGCTCCTTTTAGGACTTGAGACATCATTAGTGTACACATGAGGCTTCCTCATTGGGTATTTTGAGAGACAAGACCCAACTTCAAAAGTAGGCTTCTCAACTAAAGTTATTGAAACTCTTTCTGCCTTTGCTACAATTGTCCTCTTCCTCAAAGAGCCTACTTTGTCACCCTCTACTACCTAATTCGTACTGGAGGTTTGAATCTATCACTAATGATATATCTCTTTATGCCAGTCATCTCATAATACCAAAGCTATAAAAATATAATCACCATTTCAACAATTACAAATTGACCATATTCACCATTAAAACAATTAGAATTTGACCATATTCAAAATAACAGTAACATCTTATAGTTAACAAGAAATAACTTGCACATAACATTAAATGATTTAGAATTTAACATGAACTAAATTAGACATAACATGAATTTAATTAGACTTAACATGAAAAGCCTAACACTTTACAATTAGTAACATACGTTTAATAGGAAATAAAATGGACTTAACATGGAACTCATGGGTATTGGTGACTCATGGGTATTGGTGGCATGCATCCCGGGATATATGTAACCGCTGGCTTCTTCAAGCCCTCCAAAGCAATTTTAATGCCTATAATAGTTTCTATATAAATAAATTTCCCCCCATGCAACTTTGTTTCACCCTTTCAGTACTATCCACATACTTGAATAATAATCTAGGGATACTCTGCACGCTTCTGGGGCACTATATCATTGAGCATTGATAAATTATTTATAGCAAAACAAAGTCTTACATATCCTTCTTATCCTTTGAATCCACAAGACTTTCTAGTAGATCTTCTACATATCTTCGAATGTTGCTTGGTTTTTTCCTTTTTTTTCCCTTCTTCCCCTCTTCCTTTTTGAACCATTAAGCAAAATATTCCATCCATATTCTACCTTTAGATTCCCGATTGGTATAAATAATTTCACCATTAATTGGAAAACCAGTATGATTATGGATTCAATCCAATTCAAAGTTAATAATTTTTTTTTTCAGTTTTAGCATCAGAGATAGAAACTGTTTCATTATTAACATTAGAATAACTCAACACCAGCTCAAGTGTTGGATGATCAAGTGCAAGAGTGCCAAATAGAATATAATGCTCAAATATGGATCCATCATATGCATCCCTGTGCCACTGACATATCTTTTGGACAAGACATTTCGTAAATTCATAATATGCCCCAATACTGGTAATTGGCCTAATTTCTGCAAGATCACCAACATTTTTCCTAAAAATAAATTCAAATGTACCAGTTGAATTAGGCTTAACATAAACTAATATTAACTTAACAGGAACTGAAATTAGACTTAACATGAATCAAATTGGACTTAACATGAAATTAGACTTAAAATAAGTTGAATTAGACTTAACATGAACTAAAATTATATACTTAATATGAACTAAAATTAGACTTAACATGAACTGAAATCAGACTTAACATAAACTAAAATTAGACTTAGCATGAACTGAAATTGGACTTAACATGAATCAAATTGGACTTAACATGAAATTAGACTTAAAATAAGTTAAATTAGATTTAACAGGAAATAAATTAGACTTGACAGGAATTACATTAGACTTAACATGAATAAATTGGACTTTATAGGAATTAAATTAGTTAATAGGAACTAAAATTACACTCAAATGATTTCCTTTAAAACATAGTCTAGTTAACATAACACTTTGTTTAGTTAACATGTATTTCATTAAACTCAAGTTAATTATTATTATATGATTAGAATTAACACGAAACTCAATTCAATTATCATGAAACTCATTTTAAATAACATGAAACTCATGTTAATTCTCATGTATAGGATTAGAATTAATATGAATCTCAGTTTAGATAACATGAAAATCAGTTTAGATAACATGCACATCAGTTTAAATAACGTATTATGTATTTGAGAGAACTTAGGTTAACTTCTTTAATTAAAAAAAACCCAGCACTTACTTCTTTTGGGGTTGGAACCATCCCATGCTGGTCTTCTTTTATTGCCTCGACCTCGTACTTCACCACTTTGCATGACCAAAAGGGCCTTCGACGCTTCCGCCATGCTTCCATTCCCAGATGATTCACGGTATTCAACATCGCTAGAAGAGGCACGACCATCATCACTCGAGGAAGTCGTGTGATCACCACTTCGCTCACGCCTAGCAACCAACGAAGATGATTTAGCTTCATTGTCTTGTTTTGACTGTCTTTCATAGCCGCTGACAACTTGCTCATGCTGTCCGCCACGATGAACGACTTTGAATTTGTGAACCGATGCTTCCTTCGACGACATATATACATCGAAAACCCTAACCCTAAGTTAAAATTCAAGATGAGAGAAATGTAGTTTGGAAATTTTTTGATGGTTCCTGAACAGTATAAGAGAGAGAGAGCGAGGAGAGTACTTGAGTTGGGGATGAGCGCGGTTACCAAGTCCTGTCACTTCAGATGGTGGGTTTGTAATTTCAAGTGGACTTTTTCTCTCTGCTCACATGACAGAAATTTGGGGTCTTAACATAAATACAACATGTATTTAGAACTGAAACACAAGACCCAAAATATAGAGGGCCAAGTCCTAATGGCTTCCGATTATTGAGACATTGACACAATTTTCCCTTTAGTATAATTACTTGAAAACCCCCCAAAGGAACTAGGCTGTTTGTTTGCGATTTGGGTAGGGGGAAAGCCTGCCAAAAGTGCAGTTTTTGACAGGCTTTCCACCCAAATCGTCTCTTTTAGAGGCGATTTGGATAGAAAGCCTGCCAAAAGTTATACTTTTGACAGGGTTTTGACAAGCTTTCCAGCCCTTTCCCCCTAAAAAAAACCTTTTCCAAACAGCCCCTAACGCACTCTTCTATGAATCTATACATACATCTCCCCTGTGCAAGACTCGCAGATAAGGAGGGAGACCGCCAAGAACACTTCCTCTGTATCGACACTTGGGAGCACGAACCACGAGCGAGCTAGGGTTTAAGGCGCTCTCTCGCCTTGATCGTTCGTCCTTCGATCTGCTCTCGGATTGCTCCAAGCTCTACCGCCATGGCCGACGCCGGTTATTGGGGTCGCCGGAATCCGCTCGACCTGTCTCCCCAGCTCTCTAAGCGAGCGCGCAACGATTACGGTACTTCTCAAAGTCTGCACCCCAAAATTCTAAACCCTAGATCTCTAATTTCGTATTTTTTTGTTCCAATTGTAGCACTTATTAGTCTTGATTGGCTGTTGATTTCGACAAAAGTTTCGCGGAGTTGAAGGATTTGAGTTTATTACGAGTAAACATGCTTCTTTAGCTCCAATTGTGGTAGTAGCGGAATCAAAGTTTTATTTTTGTTGAGTGATCGTGTGCATTCTTCCTCGTTCCTTGATTTGTATGAGATTTTTGTGCGAGTTTAGGATAATTAAACTGAATTTGATATGAATTTTTTTTCAGACAGTGCATCTTTCTTTAGTTCTATTTGTGGAAATATGAGTCTTGGTTTTATCAATATGTATTCAACAATTATCTCTGACCGTTTCCTAGTTGCAAAAATTTAATGTTTTTCATTGAAATTTTCAAACTTGTGTTATGTTATGTGTCTTGCTCAGTCGTTGATTCACATAAGAACTTTGTTGGAGTTGAAAAATAACTCCAGGTTATCGTCGATAGTGGATGAATGCTCGATTTTTAAGTAACTTTCTTGTATATGTTACATATTTGGAGTATGAGTCTTCAATGTGAGTTTATTATACTGATTCTTTCTTTAGCCTCATTAATGGAAATATGAGTTACATCATGGGACGAGGTGTATGTAATGCCTATCAGTTTCTGGTTGAAATAAAATTAGGCGGTCAATTTGAGAAGGTTAAAGAAAACTGAAGCTGCAGGGTAAATTGTTGGATTTAGTTTTAGTTGGTCTTGTTGATTACTTATGCATGTACTTAAATAGCCCAATTAAAGGAAAGGTCTATTTGGTCTTTAGCAGACAATGAAGTTGAGCTATGCTTCTAAGGTAGTCGGTGATGCCTTTAGATTGACACATATTGTAAAAGATCATAAATTGTTCTTCTCACTCTTTGAGGGAGTTACTTATCTCGTTGACTCTGTGCATGTGGAAGAACTTTTGTGACTGTACATGTACGAATAAGATACACCTGCCCGTCAACTTTCAAGCATTTTACTCTGTTCATTTCTCGAAACATGGATAATCTTTTCTTAATTTGAATTATTGTCTGCAATTAGACATGTATATAGAAAAAAGGCTGCCTGGGGGCAAAGCCATGGTCCCGCATCCTGTTAGTACAGATATGTATAAATGACATTTTTCCAACTGAGGAGCACTAAAAGGGGAAACAACTACGATCAAGGTTACTAGTAGCAAGCACCGCTAAAACTATTTGGGGCTATAGCAGCAAAATAGCGGCAAAAAACGTAAAGTCAAATAGTGTCCAATTTAAATATATATAAATATTCGAAAAAATAAGAAAAATTAAAAAAAACTAAAAAGTCTACAAATGCATATTTGATTATTTATAGAGATCCTAAGCATGAAATAGCCATGTAACAATGATCTAATATTAACAAAAATACTGTACAAAATGAAAAAGCGTACATGTTTATAAAAAAAACCGTAATTTGTCTCATTCTTTCAACTTCAAGTAACTAATAGAAAAATTCTCAACAAAAGAAAAATATTGATTAGTAACAACATAATTGTATTAACTATTGAAACTTGACATAAAAATGAAGTCTTCAAGCATAGATGAATGAGCAATATTTACTGTTATTTGCCTCTATTTCCCGCTATTTCACGCTTTTGAGTGCTTTGGCTAGCAAAAAGCGCTCACGAGTGCTATTGTTCACCGCTATCAATGAAATCGTAGCAGTAGGTTCCGCTACCGCTATTTGCATTGCAATATCACCGCTATTTACAACATAGGACTACGGTTATTCTTGTTTGTATATTGCAGTTGTAACTTGACAGATTCATATATAGATGCAGATGGAATGCATGCTGCATGTGCTTGTGTACGTCCATTTATTCACATTTGTATATGTATGTGCATGTGTCTATGTGTAAGTCCACTTATACACATTAGCAAACGGTATGCATATTTGTTCGAATAGAGTGTAAATTGAACTTATCCAGTAGCGAAGGGGGAAGGCTTGAGATAGAAGAGAGTGTAATTCAAACAAACATATAGGTGTATATGCTGCATGACATCTTTGATAAGCCCATAGAAAATTATCTATTTCTACTAGCTATTCAGTAGTTGCCAATATGCTTGTTAACTTGCCATAATAGTACTTGGACGTGGGACATGGGTACCATGTCTTAGAATGTCCTAAAATATTCGACATAAATTTTTTTAATAGGATGAGAGTATACATTACACATACGTCTATAATAACAAACACTATATTGTAGGCAAATAAAATTGTCTTTATCCCTAACAGAGAAATTCAGAAGTTCGTCTACAAGAACATTACCAAAAATAGTAAAAAACGGATAAAAAACGCTGATATCTCTCAAACCGGAGGGAATTTGGCAAAACGGACGGTGGCAAACCGAACTTTAGTGGGTTTGGTCGGCCCCGTCTCGTCGGGATAGTCAATTTTTATATATAATTCGTCTAATTCCGACTTACGGTTTGAAAGTTATGACCCGTTTTTCGCAGTAAATTATGTTCCTGGATGCTAGACTTCGCCTGAGCATCCAAGCTCGCAAGAACAAAGCTCATATGACTTAGTCGCCTGAATCAAATAGGCTAAGTCAAGCTCGCCTTAAGGCTTGACTTCGCAGGCGAAGCGAAGTTCGTCTAAGCATTGGACTTTGCTTAGAAAGAACTAAGCTCGCATGAATGCTTAGTTCGCCTGATCGCAAGTTAGCTAAGCTCGCCTGAATACTTAGTTCGCCAACAGAGTTTAAGCTCGCCTAAACGCTTAAGGGGTTCGTCTGTCAACCTCGTATGTTCGCCTAGCTTGCCTACAAGCTCGCCTGAATGCTTCGCTCGCTCGCACGAGTCAAGCTCGCCTACAGGAGTTAAGCCCGCATGAATGCTTAACTTATGAAGTTCGCCTGCAAGCTTGCCAAACTCGCCTGCAAGCTCGCCAGACTCGCCAAACTCGCCTGAGCAGTTAAAAGCCACTTACTTGAATTGTGAGAGTGGTTATGCCCACTTCCCACGTTCTAATTGGGGTAGTTATGATCTTTCTCAGCTATAAAAAGCCACTGATGGCTACAAGAAAAGGGGAGCTCTTGACTTTTTGGCTGCGGAACTTTTGAGGGAGATTCAAAAGAACCGAACTCTTGCATTCTTGTGCATTCGGCTTTGTTATTCAAGCTCGGGTGATCAAGCTCTTCTAATCAAACTTCTACCACGCGCTGAAACATTTGCAATCTTGTTCGAATCGTCAAATGGAAGCAAACTCAACACGAGCATCAAGGGAGGCATCCTATCGCTTTAAAGAACCCACGTTAAACAAAGAGATCGAATCAATTCTCTCTGCTTCTGTGTAAAAGCGATTTCGATTTGTAATAAACAATCAATCAATACAAATATTTGATATCTCATTTTACATCTTACAGAAGATGGTAACCACAGTGGGAGAAATCATTTTTTCTAATGAGATAGTGGTGACACAATTCGACGAGGTTGTTGTAAGGACTATCGTTGAGTCCCTCATCATTGAGTTCGATGAAGCTAAGTATGAAGAGTACCTATCTTTGACTTCTGCTAGTGGCAAAACGTCACGTAAATGTCGCAAAGTCTTGTGTGTGACTCAACCTTAGCAAGTTAAGGTTAGTATGCCTGAGAGCTCTACCCGAGCAAATATTAGGGGTTCCAATCCCCCTAAAGCAGTTGATGCAAGCCGAAAGGCCAAGAATGCTCATGTCCCTGTCGGCGCAGAACACGCATTCACCGTCGACATGAATGCTCCTCTCTCAAAGAGAGCCAAGCAAAGGCGACGACAAGCCCGCGCTCGCCATCATGCATGAGCCCTGATCTCCTTCGATGGCTTGAATTATCATTCGGGCTTGAAAAACATGCTGGAACCAAGAACAAGCGCGAAATTCCCAGTTCTGGCTAACCGTGGCGTCAAGTTCTCAGATCTGACGAACTGCGTAGTTCAGGCGAACTTCGCATTGCTGACGAAGTCCACCATTTAGGCGAACTTCACCATTCAGGCGAACTTAAATCAGTTGGCGAACTTCACCAGGCTCATCTGACGGCCTAACCTCGACTGCAAGCTGAGCTTCGCCAAAAGAGTAAAGCAATCCAAGTTTGCATAACAAGCGAACTTTGCCAACATAAGCAAGCTGAATGCATGCAAGTTCGCCAGACAAACGAACTTTGCAGAAAGAACATGGTGCTGAATTTCGTCAAGTTCGCCAGCCCAGACAACTTCGTTAACAGGCCCAAGTTCGCCAGATGGCCGAACTTCACCAGACCAAACAAGTTCGCCAAACAGGCGAACCTCGTCGAAAGAACAACAGGCTTAACCTCGCCTGCAGACTCAAGCTCGCTAAATAGACGAACTTCACTTGACAATGAAGTTTGCCAGAACAGACAAAGTTCGCCAAACAACGAAGTTCGCCCGAACAGGTGAACTTCGCCAGAGCAAGCAAGTTCGCCAGCATAAGCAACTTCGCCTGCATAGGCAAGGTCACTAGAATTGAGTACTTGGTCCCTCTGAAGCTAGGGGTTGTACGCATTGACCCGTTGTGGATCTCAGAGAACACCTGACGCGCAAATGCACACTTCGATGTCACTGTGAGAAGCTAATCACAGCAATGCTCGTTGGATGTCGGTGCGGTGCGATGTCAAGACATCCTCGCCAAAGACGCAGCCGCGTGGAGAAACAAGCTCTTGATGACTTGGATCTCCCAACTGCAACTGTCAACGTAATAGGGAAGTCCAATGCGAAGAATTTAGACTCTTTCGACGCTGAATTTTCGCCAGGATTGAAAAGTCTCCCCATCGAGCGTGAATGTGTCTACCAGCACACCCGGACCAAAAAGGGGTTATCAACCACTTGATTACAGACGGTTATCCTCTGTTTCTGATGATGAGGATGATGATTGCTCGGCAGTAGCAACGTCTCAGACCTCAAGCTCAATTCAAGGCGAGCATGTCAAGGTGCAC